AAATAATGAAAATTTACATATTTGAAGACAACATAATTGTAAACTTCATCCAATCTTCTTAAGTGGTTTGCACTTACCTTCTTTTGGCTGGCGAGTAATATAGGCAGTCTATAGGCAAATTATAGGGAAACAGAAATCTATAATTTTTTAGATCTACTTTTAAAGTTAACCGATCAGTTCCTTCGAAAAGTGCAAGACTCTTATCTTAATTTTGACATAACATATTTTTGTTAAAATTATTAGAAACTGAGCTTTAGGAGATTACTAAAATTTTATCTTTGATAATAACTTTGTTCTATAATTTGTTATTAAAAATTTTATCAATTGTGTCAAAATTTAGATAAGATCTTTAACTCTTAAAAGAGTTGGCAAAGAAAAACCCCAAAATTTTAATAAAACCCTTATTATGGGTTTTTTTTTATTAAAGACGAGTATTTTAGAGTTTGGGTTTCTTTTTTGGCCAATATTAGACTTATCTCTTACAAGTTAAGTCGGTTACTCTCTTCACTCTGCACTTCGCTTATACACTCCACGTATCCTTTTCCTCGCACACCTCCACTTCTTAGTAATAGCCATTCCTTTAAAAAATATTGGAAAACAAATGAATTTAAACGTTACATTCCAGGTTGACATAAAATTAGTTAACCCAATGCCCCTAACTTACTTGTATAGTTCAACACTGAGCGAACGTGCATGGAAATTGCCCGACTGATTGTTATTATTATTATTATAGAGGCTTACGAGAGATAAGTAGTCTCTCCAAGCCTTTCCTCTCCTGATCTCTGTCTCTGATGTTAAGAGCTTGATGATCTGTAAGGATTTTGTCCGAAGCCAATACTTGCAATATAGGCAACGTTTAAAAATAGATTTTTTAAAGCTAGGAAAAAACTGTTTGAAAATCAAGACGGCGTTTCAACACTTGTAAAAGACACAAAAAATTGAATAACTCTTTTAACGAATAGAAAAACGATTAAAAACTTATCGCCTCCTAATATGTTATACTTGTACACAAACACAATTGCTCGTTCATTTATTTACTTATAAAAATTATTATTATTATTATTTTTTAATGTAATATTGTCGATGATTTTTGGGCTTCTTTGGTGCTGCAACTTTTCAACAAATTAAATATTATTGTCACGCTATACACAATGATAATGATGATATTGATGATAATAATAGTTATATATTAAATACACTTATAGATGGACAATGTCTGTGTATTGAAAGATCATTTTTGGTAACAGTCTTATCGCTATGAAGTCCAGACTTATGGGCGTCCTATCGAAAAACACTGGTTGAAGGAAAGCCTTTTGATTATAGAAAAGTGTAGCCAACTGGAATCGGCCATCGTCATTTTTTATCCTAAAAAGAAGTCTGAAGTAAATAGATCCGACGTACTCGGTGAATGAGCATGACGCGAGAAATATGACGGTTTAGGCAAGAAGAGTGTAAGTACTAAGTAGTTAAAAAAAAAAAAAAGAGGGAAACAATGTGAGAAGCAGACCTAAGTAAAGTGGATGAATGTGTGGAGATATAGAAATGGAATTAAGAGAATAGAGAAGTGGTGACAGACAAGTGTGTAAGAAAAGATAATAGATAAGGCGAAGAAAACAAAAAAAAAAAATGGCGACAGTAAATTCCAATTGGCCACTTGTAATGGCTCTTGTAAGTGTCGTCTATAGTATAGCATAAGGGTTTACTCATGTTGCCTTCCCTCTTAAGCAAATAAAGATTTTTAAAATTTTGTTTTTAATATTTGTACTCACATTAGCCTATAGTTCTGGGTTTTAATTCATTTGTATTGTTTGAAAACACCAAATATTTTATTTTTCATATACATTATTTATATAACTCAAAATTGACGATTATAGCGATAATTAGCCAAGAATTTTATTTTGCAAATATTAAATGTAAATTCTATTTGTATGTCAAAATTTAACTGCAACATAAAAAAAGATAATTTATTAGGTGTATACAAATGGTTTGTTTTTCATGCGATTTTGAATTATGCAATTATTAAATAAGTAAATGTACTAAATATTTTTTTTCTGGTCACTAGGTTAAAAAAAATTATAATTAGTTAAATGATGTAGAGGGTTTATTTTACTTTAGCTGAGATCCAAGAGTGAAATGCATTTTCTTTTTAGCAGCACTGAGGAGTCGTCTAAAATATACTTTATGGTTTTAGTGAATGAATGGCTGTAAAAGGTTTATAGTGGGTTTTTTTTTTAAGAGAACTAAATTTTAAAAAACTTTATTCGCCAAAGTGAGAAACTGGCAACGAGTAAACCCCTAGACAACAGCTAGATAACCTAGTTTTTGTATTCTTTCTGCTATGAAAATTGAAGTTGCCGCTTTATGCAAAGCAGGTAGTGTTTACGAGCAAACCTCTTATCAGTGAAGTGCCAAAAGTTGCACAGGTTGTTAATGGGTTATGTCGATAGCCAGAACATTGGCTATAACCGTAGATCATTATTAACCAAACGGATAAAACCGTCGCCGCCTTATCATCACACCCTTTAAACGAATAAAAGCCAATAGGCAATACCTCAAATGGGCAGACCTTGTTCTTGCAACTCCTCCGCCTCCATTGTAAATGATCTAAGGTTATTATGTGTCGGCAAACGTTTTTCCAATATGTGATCTACCATACAATGCTCCCCAATTGTTAAATCCAGTTGAGCTAAGCCTAAAACTAAAGCTGGAAACACTGAGTTTTTTTAGAAAAAGCCTAAATAATTGAGATTTTGTTGAGTATACCATAAACCATTATCCCGAATCCAAGATAACCATTAATTTTCTGTTAAATATCAAACACTTATTGGGTTCCTTTTAGTCAACTCCCCTAATATAATATTGTTGTGTGTGTTGTAAGACCTTAAAATTAAATTAAACGCAAGTAAACTATACTTTAGCTTAATTATTACACTGCTTCTTGTAAACTTTTACAGTTTTAAGTTAAAAGTTGTCCTATGTCCATTACAGTAGACAAATTTTATTTTTTAATTTTCGATATGATGATTTACTGGAAGATAAAATAAAACAACTAACATCAAAACACGCTTTCCAATTAAAAATTTATCGACGATTTTTCGATGTCATTCTTATTTTTTCTGAAAATCATTCTGAAGAGAAATTCTTAGTACAAAAACTCAGGTCATAATGGTTTTACCCTCCACGTTGAGACTAATAAAAATAGATGTAGAATCATTCTTTCTCTTAACTCGATCAATCCAATAGCTGTGACGTAGAGGTGTGTGAGACATTTGGGTAATTGGTAGAGAAGTTTGGAGAGAAGATTATCCGGATTGATTAAACACACTTTCAAGGGACAACGCGAATAATATTTTCTTTGCATTATCCCGTGCAAGTGGGATGGACCCTCTTAATATTCTCCATTTAAGGTTTCAGGGTAGAAAAAAAATGGTAGAATCGCATATTGGAATAATGTAGTTCCCACTACAAACGGTGCTAAAGTGCTATCAACTAGTGATAAACTTGTTTGTAAACAATTGCCTGGTTTGCTTAGTGCGGCGACCTCGATGACAACAAAGACCATATAGTTTGTCTGTTCATGACTATAAGTAAATCATTTGGGAAGAGTAGGACATTTTGACGTGGCCATTTTGGTGAGGCCATTTGGGCGATGGTACTTTTTGGCGTTTTACTATTTTGGTATCAATTGAATAAAATGACAATTTTATGAATTTTGTAAATCATTATTTTTATTTTTTAATAATACAATATAATATCAACAATAAATGTAATCTAAAATTCCTCTTAAATATGAAATTGTATCTCATTTTTTATGATCTCGACAATGCGCATTATTCTGTATGTTAATGTTTTAAGCTTTATGGGTGCATTTTTTTCTAAATATCAGTTGATTTTTAATTATGATAGCATCATTATGGTAGCTTGAATTTGTTAAACAATATAATAAAACACCGATCTACTCCTGACTTTACATTTGACCTACGGTCAGAAGCTTCTGCACGGTTTAAATGCTTATTTAAAAACAAGTACAAAAAAATTCGTTAAAACATCTTTATCACGGCAAGATTAAAATGGAGTTTGCTATCCATCTCAACACTCATTTCAGTCACTATCAATTTATTTTTACTCTTTTATTCAGTGCCAAACACTTGTTTTCTTTACTGGTCTTACTACCTTTTTATATAAATTATTCTTGCCCTCTAAAATGCGATTTACTGTCACACGACACACCTTTGCCTCTTTCCATCTCATCCATCTATACTTAATTTTACTCTTCACGTCTTTTTCCATTCATTCTCTTACAGACATCTGAGGTCTTACTGACCTACTAATTTACTTTCTTTGTTCAACCCACCACTTGATATTCATGCATAATCGATTCTCTTCCTATTTCTAAAACTTACTCATTACTAAACTTGAGCTTTAACTATTCTATTTTAGACCTACTTGCTATGTTGTTTAGCACTGAACTCTGAGACACTTTCTCCTCGAAAACTGTCAATAAAAGCTCTCTTAGCCTAGCTTTTTCCAAATCTTTTTAACCATACATGAATTTTTCTTTTTCTATTATTTGCCTTAAATAAAATATACCAATTATAATAGTACAGATTCGTCAAAGTGGCCACGTCGAAATGTCCCATTTCATCTTGGGCGACACCCAGGGTCCCATTGGAGGGGGAAGGGGTGAATGGTTCGATAAATCTCGTTTTATTTCTTACCTACACCATTATTATTGTTATCATTATTATTGTGTTTTAAGTATACATTTTTTTTGTTTATTTAATCTTTGTAAATATCTATTTTTGAAAATCGTTTATTTATTATTATTTTTCATGAATTTTTATTTTATATATTATAATATTGTATTATGATATTTTCGAAAAGAGCGAAAATAAAGCGACAACCCCATTAAATACAATTAATATTTGCGTCCCAAAATATTGTTGTCTTTTCTTTTGTTGTTGTTGTTGTGATGAATGATTATGAGTATATGACACTAGACTGTGGTGGGGTTCCAGGGGACGGCGGCGGTGGACCTACGATGGGATGTTACTTGAACGCCACCGAACCCAAACCAGTGTGTACGGAATGCGGCCGCGTGTACAGCAGCGTGAGTAACCTGAAGCAGCACATAGCCAACGTCCACTCGGCCACCCCGCATTGGGAACCGTGTCCCGTGTGTGGCAAACACTTCAAGACGCGCCAGTATCTGTTCAACCATCTGCTGCAGACGCACGGCATCCGTCAGAGGGGCAGCAGAATGCACATGCAGGCGGCGCCGCCGGGTGGAGGAGGAGGAGGAGGGGGCGGCGGCGGTGGCGGCGGCTCCCTGTCCAACCATCCGTCGTCTGTCGCCGGCCCGACGACGGTGTCCCTGTTGTCCGGCGGTGGCGGCGGCGGTGGTGGCAGTGGCGGCGTCTGTTTTTCCACGGCCAAACCGCCGCTATTGCACCACGCCTTGGCCGACATCAAACCGCCGTTGTCGCACCACGCGGCCGCCGTTGCCGCAGCGGCAGCCGCAGCCGCCGCGGCCAGCGCTTCGTCGTCGGCCGACCACAGGGGCGACCAGCAGCAACAGCACCAACAACAGCAACAACAACAGCAACAACAGCAGCAGCAGCAGCAACAACAACAACAACAACACCAGCAACACCCGCATCCCGGTTTGGGTTTTGCGACGCCCTCGCCGGCCGCCGTGGCCGCAATGCGGGAACACCATCGGCTGAACGCCGCGGCCGCCGCAGCCGCAGCCGCCGCCAATTCGGAAAATCTGTCATCACAGTTTTACATGCTTTCCAAATCGTCGGCCGTCACCAGATAATATTCGAAAAGTTCATGTTGATTGTAGATAAAGAACATTTTTTTTTAGATTTATTAATATTTTTATATTATATATAAAATATATTTATATATAGAGTTGACAAAAAGAAACGCCCAAGACCGAAAGAATCCATTGGGTTATTATGTTGAAACCCAGCAAATGTGTTTGAATTTGGTTTAGGAATTACCAAAAAAAAAAAAACTAATAAAAAACCGGGTTTTTGCCTACTCTGATATCGCCCCCACGTATTTTTGTATTTATTATTATTATATATTATAAAAATTCTATTATGTTATTGTCGCGACCGCCCAAAATACTACACCAACAACGGTAATAAGCTAAATAAAATATCATATTATATTTTAATTTTTCTTCCGTGTAAAATGTGTTATGCTTGTTGTTGTTATAATTAATACTATGATTTTAACGCGTTAATAATATTGTGTAAATATCTCAAAAAATTCGGTTGTAACAACGTGTAATGTGTATAATATTATAATGATATATTTTTAAGGGATATAAACCATTTTAGATCATCATGTCGGCGACGTTTAAAACGGGAAAATGTCGAACATTGTTTTGTTTTAATTTTTTTTTTTTTTTTAATCACTTATTCGGCAAAAAAAAGAGAGCTTATCATATATATTTTTTTTCTTAATTTTTAAGTAATGACAGGAAAAACGTCTTGTCGTCGTCCTTCGGTCCTAGTCTCTAGTCATTCCCCCGTAAAGTTCGAACGTGTTATTATATTAGCCAAGTAGTCTGTGAAAAAACAATCATTTTTTATTATTATTATTATTACTATTATATTTTAAATAATATATCACGATATATATATATATATATATATATATGATGATATTATGTATATTTGATGTATAATAAACGACACGAATCATGATGATATGTATATTTTTTGACTTGTTAATTTTTAATCTTTAGATAGTATAATGTCGCGGTTCGTTTGAAAATTTCACAATAATCTTTCTCTTGGGATGTTTTTTTCTTCGTTTATCCAAAACGTGGGTCTTGCTTTACGTTTTAAGATCTCAGTCGTAAATATTATGTAGATTATCGATATTAATTATTATACCGTGTGTTTCTTTCGGTGACAAGCGCAATTGTCTTGCGGACATTTTGACTGAAACGCTATTCGTTTGGAGCGTCCAAATTGGTTCGGTTTCGTTCAAAGTATTGTGCTGTTTGTTATATATATATATATAATTGTGTGCTCTATTCAACGATAATAGTATTAGTATAATAATATGTACAATGTATGAAAACAGTTCCTGAAAATCGAAATCCGATTGTGTAATAGTGTTTAATAATTTTGCAATATCACCGCCGCCGCCGTTTTTTTCTGTTGCATTTAAATAAAAGGTCATCGTTTCGCCTGTTTGACCGACAAATATATACCGTTTTGTAATAGTAATAGCATAATCATAGTAATAATAATTATTGCTGTTATCGGTTGGTGTGTCGTCGTCTATGATTGTTGTTGTTGGTTATTGAATTTTTTTTTTTGTAGTAATTAACCTTAAACTTTGATACGAACGAAAGAGAAGAAGAGATTTGCACTAAACATAAAAAAAAAAGAATCGCCTACTTATAAATTACTTACATAGACTCTGAATCATACTACTAAAAAAAAAAAACTACCAAACAATTAATAAAAACTATAATAATACAAACCGCATCGCCTTATTTTACTATGTAATTTTTATACATACTATTATATTATATAAATGTAATATTATAAATTTGTATGTGTATGGTAAAGTGTACATATTATATTACATATGTATTTATATACCCACAATCTGCAGTTTTTTTATTCAGAGTTTTTTTTTTTCAATGTAAATAATATAATTTCATAGTCTTGCCGACAAATAATCAACGTTATATTATTATCAAAGCGATATAGTTCCCTTTTGTTTGTTTAATAATAATAAAAAAAAGTACTTCCCCGTTTACCCTTCACACCAGACTCGTTCAACTCATTTTCATTTGACTGAAGCCAATGATTTGCATAAAAAATTAATGAAATAGTTAACCGCGTTGTAACGGCAAATTAGGTTAGCCAATTTTTAGAAATTACAATTCTTATCGTCTACTGATAAACAAATTATTGGAAAACGTTTGAAATTGTGATTTATTTCATTTTAAATCACTAAAAAAATTGATTAGGCAAATTATCTCACAGAAACGGCGATTTTCGCTGCATTCACTTGGTTTGCTTGTCAACATTTAGCCATCATAAACTGATATTAAAATATATGGTCGTTGCAACTGAAGAGGGTTTTTTAAGAAGATATCTGTCCGCTTAAAAGGTTTTTTAGCGCAATATTTTGTTCAAAAGTGTATTTAAAAAATAACTACCATAATATTAAAAATATGGCGGTCTATGTTCTTGGTAACATGGTTCAATTTAAGGTTAGCAACCGGTCGACACAGAAGTTAAAAATATGAGTTTTGGCATTCAAACAGTTGTTAGAGGTTTTCCAGCTAGATTTTACATATACTTTGACACATAAACTCGATTTAAGAGTTGTATTTTTCATTATTCACATTCTAATTGAGTACCTATTGTCCTGTACAATGTGCATTGGAGTAAGCAACCAGAAAGTACATTTGACACATCATTGACAAAATACAAACAACCACACGAGGAGGAAGTGCCTGCACGATTTGATGACCTATTGGGGTGGCTAGTGAAAACAATTCTGAAATCATGCTAAAGTCATTCCAAAATGACATGACTAAATCCAGCGGTGTGCTTTAGGAACCTTTTGGAGGAGTGGGGAGGGGAGGGGGTTAAATAATATCCGTTTTCTGGCCCTTTATGGATTTGGACACCCCGGAATATCGCTTCTTCTTTTCAATATGATGTAGGTCGGTGCTAACGAAGAAGTGGACTTGCAAATTTTGGTCTCGACACACAACTAATTCATCATGCTGCTGCGTTTACTCGTATTGTTTACATACTTAGGGTAGTGGGCGCAGACTCGTGTTTGTGAACGGGGATCGCCCGTGTGGCTGAAACCGCGGTGACGACTATAGAAGAGATTGGCAAAATAATTGAGATAAGGTTCAAACGATGAGCACACACCGTGTCTCTCTCGTGCATCTCTGGAACGGTGATTAGTAGGTCAAAGGTAGTAGGAGCCTTTGGTAGTAGTAGTAGGTAGCGGACGAGCGGGCGTGGTGGTTAAATTGTGCTTGTTTGTCATCCAAATGATCGTTTTGTGTTTAGCAGCAAGGAGATCCATCGAAATGACAAGGGTCAGGGCGACGGATCCACGGCCGTGTCCCAAGTGCGGAAAGATCTACCGGTCGGCCCACACCTTGCGCACGCACCTCGAGGACAAGCACACGGTCTGCTCCGGATACAGGTGCGTGCTGTGCGGCACCGTGGCCAAGTCCAGGAACTCTTTGCACTCGCACATGTCGCGCCAACACCGTGGCATCAGCACCAAAGACCTGCCCGTTCAACCGATGCCGTCGAATTTCGACCCCGAGCTGGCGTCCAACCTACTACTCAAAGCTGGAGTTAAGGTAATAACATCCATCGTTAGATAATAGTAATCAATATGCTCATAGTAGTTGAAAAGGTCTAAGGAAACGTATTTTTTATCTCTTATCACTTATCCCTAATCTCTCTTATCTCTTATCTCTCTAATATCTGATAAATCAGCTGTTGTTTTTCGTTATGATAACAACTGTAGAATTTTGCGTGTATGTGCCAAAGCAAAGACACCATAAAAATGTCAAAATACCGAAGCTCAGGGGGGGTACAGCAGGACTATACCCTTTGCTGGTCATCAATGAGAGAAAAAATAATGTATGACTGACATTCTGACATTCCTACTATTAATACTAATTCTCCTCTACCTTTTTCGCTTCGAACTCTATACGAAAGACAGTGAGATAAGAGAGAGATGCCATCTATAAGAATGGACAGCAACTGAACAAGGGAAATACCACGAGAAAAACACAGTACTGTTACTAAGCTTTTGTTATTTTCATGACGGTGTTTATGGAAAAGCGGTGTAGGTCAAAGCGAAACTTCTTTTTATTTCCTCTTCTAATAATTATAATTTCCTGATTACCTTCTCGACCCTGCCTGTAAATTTCTGGTAAAGTAGTGCAGTTTCTTTGGTTCACTCTGGGATCATGTGTAACGAGACTGTTTATTCCCTTTTTCATTGTTTCTCTAAATTCCTCACCTCACACGAACAACATAGTATATGAAAATTTTCCAATCTCCGTTTTCACTATTCTGCTATTTCCCCCAAAAGAAATAATTGTTCTAACTTTCTCTCCTCTGTGGAAATTAACGACTCCAACCCTTCTCACGTCTTTTACTCCCATTCTTTTCCACCATTATTACACGCATAACTATTATTTTTTTTACTCTATTTAATTAGATTTAAACTAAAAAACCTTATGATTCTATTATAGCAGTGGAGAGCCATTGATTGAGTTTGATCTCAACGTAAAAAACCACCATGAAATTATTTGTTTTGTCTGCGTCGAACAAGTTTAGATCTTGACACCAATTCCTAGTATAATTTAAAAAAAAAATACACTAAATTCTAAGACGTTTTTATGAGGTTATTTTCTCCTCTTATCAGAAGTTTCTAATTTTTCAAATCCACCTACCCTTCCACGTGAGATGCTCTCTGTTCTTGTCGATGGCGTTGCCCGTAAAATTTGATTTTCTAAACACAGCGTTATGGCCTATTGTTTTAACATGGACGAGTTATTGGACATGATAAAAGAAGTTTCACGTCGCCATTTTCGCATTACACTTTCACGTTCATGTGATAAGAGATAAGATATGTGATAGAGATAAAATATGTGATAAGATATTAGATATTATATGATAAGCTATAATTGATAAGAGATATGAGATAATATCCACGATTCAGTGTTTTTTCCGTGAAGCCGACAGAAATAACTATTAACTATCCGTACTAACACTTTTTTGTTTGCGTTTTTTAAGATTTCGCCGGCAGAACTGCGGGCCAGGGCTTCGCCCACGGAGACGGTGACCGGCCATAGGCGCGGCGACAACGTCAAAATGGACTTGCAGTCGGCCAACAGCAGCCTGTGCGGCGGCGACGACCCCGAAGACTTGACCATCAACAACTTGCACCACAACCACGGTAACAACAACCAGCTGCGGTACGGCCCGGGCGACATGAACGTGCAGGGCAAGTTCCCGTCGGCCATGGATCTGATCGACAACTACGCGCGGGGCGGAGGCGGTAGCGGTGCACTGTCGCCGTTCCTGCCGTTCGCCAAGGACCATCCCGGCGACAAGATGTCCCCTTACAACAACAAAGCTTTTCTGGACTCCTATCTGAAAGCGCTGGTCGAGACCAACCCGCCGCTGTTCTACGCGTCCAAGCTGGCCGGCGACATGATCAAGCAGGAAATCGCTGCCGACGATGCGGAGTACTCTTCGGCATCCGACGAGGAAGACGAAGAAGACGACGACAGCGTCAACGACTCGCCTTTGGCTCTCCCAGCTGGCAAAAACTAGCAATTAGAAACAACCAACAAAAACCACTTGTAATGGACACCACACGCTTGTTATGTTATGTTTTTTTTAAAAAAAAAATAATTACTCAGTAATTGTTTTCCTCCTTTACCGCTGCCGAGAGAAGATGAACAAAACATAATTATTTATAATAATATTATATATAGTATTTGTATGTAGTGATTGCCGTCCGTTACTGTTACCCCGACGGGTTTAGAGTCTATATATATATATATATATTTTTGTAACGACAATAGTAACCTTTGGACAATAACCAAAAACAACAAACAAA